CTCCTCTCCACAAGTTTACTTCCAACTAGACTTCCAAGACTATCATGATTAATGCATAATGGTATTGACCACCATGTGAAAGACCTCGAGCTCATGCTTTCCTCATGTTGGTCTGTTGATGCAAAAGCTACAAGATTCCCCCTCGTTTTTCTCAGAAACGGGTGTGTTAAAGATTTGAGGCTTGTATATAGCAAAATCTTGTGACTATGGTTTCGAAGGGGCTTGAGCAATTAAGGTTAGTGTTTCTTGTGTTGAGTAATGGTGTGGCGTATGATTTGATTTGTGCGTGTAAATCTCGAAAAATCTGTCTATCGATGCGTGTCATGGACTGCAGGACGTTAAGATCTCTTCATTGAGAGTTATTTACTGAAATGCGAGTGGTGCTCACTATCTTAAGCTACCATGTCTCTGAGGGCTCTAGCAATCATAAAACTATTCTTCCTGTGGATGCCGACAGCTATAATTTTTGACAGCTATAAACATCCTTATTTGGTGTCACACCACTGAAATCTTTTCCTGCTTTTCCAAGCAATCTAGTTGCTGCAGCATTGTAAAATTTCCCTCTCCATTGACACCCTCCACCTTTCGAAGTAAGATAAGGTGCTGGATAATAAACTAGCTTCTAACTAAAATTGTACACTAAACCTAACTTGATCCTCTGCCCACCACTATAAAAACCTCAGTCTATCCCTTCTTTACACATCAAACATTTCAACGATCGATCAGTAGAGCTTAATTTGCTTTGGTGTTTTGGTATCATTTCAAGCTTTATATCAGGGTCTGTAAAGATGAAGCAACAGCACTCACTCTCCTCTTTTTCATTTTTTCTTCTTTTACTCCATTGTGCTAATACCTTTGCTCAGTCACCAGCTGCAACCCCAGCACAGGCACCAGCAGCAGTTGTAGCACAACCTCCAGCTGCAACCCCAACACAGGCAGCTCAGCCACACGGCATCACAAACGTCACCAAAATCCTTGAGAAGGCTGGACATTTCACGATCTTTATCCGCCTTTTGAGATCCACCCAAGAGGAAAACCACTTGTTCTCCGCGCTTAATGATTCAAGCTCTGGTGTAACCATCTTTGCACCAACTGATAGCGCATTCTCGGAACTCAAATCAGGAACTCTCAACACTCTAAGTGATGGAGACAAGTCTGAGTTAGTGAAGTTCCATGTAGTTCCTACTTTCTTATCGACCTCCCAGTTCCAGACCGTAAGCAACCCTCTCGGTACATGGGCTGGAACAGGTAGTAGGTTACCACTAAATGTCACAAGTTATCCAAACTCAGTGAACATAACCACAGGACTTACCAATACAAGTTTATCTGGCACGGTATACACGGACAATCAGCTAGCCATTTATAAGATTGAGAAGGTGCTACTTCCTAAGGACATTTTTGCTTCGAAGGCTCCAGCTCCAGCACCGGTAGCACCGGAACCAGAAAAGCCTACAAAGGCAGTTCCTGCAGCAACCGTAGAGAGTCCCGTGTCTCCTGTGGATATATCTAGTGCGCTTATGTTCGCACATAATAATGTGGTGGGATCTGTTGGCATAGTTGCTGCTGCAATGTTTGCTCTGTAATGTATTAAGGTTTGAATCTTGAGATGAAATTTGTTGGGGTTTGGTCTGGTTTTGATGTTATATTTTTCCTAGCTGTATTGAATCTGTTGAGTAATTTCGATCTTACCTTGAATCCAGTTTGTATGCTTTGAGTTGACGATTAAAATTGAGTTCTGAGATTTTATTTAATTTCTTGGTACTTGATTAGTCAAATTTCAATTTTTTTTAAACCATAATCCGGGTGTCATCTAATCATTACCTAGTTTTCGGGTAGATAATGGTGGTTGGATTGGTGAATCAATTTCTGGGGAAGTATACTTACTGGAGGATGAGTAGTAAGTGGAATTTTTGGAGGAGACGAGAGTTGTCAAGCTGAGAAGTCCTATTCAGGTGGTTGCACAAGCTTGCAAGCTGTTGACATCTTTTTTCGTGGATATTAACTTGCCGAAGGTTCTTAGGGTTATTTCCTCTGGGAATGGTTCTTCTGATCCGATCTTAGGGGGGTGTCGGCTAAGTGGGGTGAATATTGGGCAAACTATCATGATAGCAGAGGAGAGAAAGCTCGCAGGAAATCTGAAGCGAAGGAAAAGTGATTACAAGATTGGTGGAGGAATGAAGGAAGGTGAGTTATGAGATAATGGAGGCCGAAAGAGATTGAAGTAGATCGTCACCACTGACCAGGGAGAAAAACAGTAAGAAGGAAGCAGAAGAGAAATGCCAGAGATGATTCATTTCGATCCAAAGAAGTATGATTCATGAACTTATTGAGTTGTATTCAATCGGCAGCTCCCCCCCACCCAAGGATTTGACGATTAGGAGCATTAGAGTATACATTCATACTGCTCTTTTCTGGACAAATCCCCCAGCATTTCATGCGAAACTTGATTGAGAGATTACAGTTTCTGCATTACAGGTTAGACATATCATGATCCGGTTTTCAAATCCATAACTAGCACATAAATAATATATTTTTTTAAAATTTTATATTAATATAAACTTAGACTTACATACAAACTGAACCTTCGTATAACTTAATATATAACTTAATGTGAGTTCAACGTAGTACTAATAACAAAATTAATTTCATTATATAATTTGATTCTCTGCTATACTAATAATAAAATTAACTTCATTATATAATTTGATTATCTTAATACAAGAGTTAATACAAATTTATAATTGTGGAGCTCCAACTAAATATAAGAGAAAATACAAATTTCAACAAAAAAGAAGGTCATGAAGGTCCAACAAAATAACCCACTAACAAGTTATAAGTCTGAAAACATAAATAATAAGAGGGTGATTTCAACAAATCAATAAATAGATAATATTCAATACACACACATGAGATAATATAATAATAAAATATATATATATAATTATGATTCTAGGTTCTTATAGGAAGGTTTTTCAAATATATCATAACAAGAATATTATTAGGTAGAGCTAGTTAGAAAATCAAAATGCAATGAGCATGGGACTCTGTACTGTGGAACCATTGGTGACTCCCTTGACTAATTAGGGTTTAGATACGATGTGCACAAATACTAATACTATCATGTTAGCATGAATATTTTGATTAGCATATCATAAGTTCATAATTATAATCAAACAGACATATTTATATTTCAAGGCTCAACTCATGACATTAAATCAAATGAGGAGCTATCAATTCAGAAGTTAATTTAAAATATATATTGGTTCATATCAATAATTTAAATTTAACAATTAATCATACTTTATCGTAACAAGGATAATAATCAATATATATATTATTAAGAAGCATGATTCTATTCATATTAAAAAATTAAATATTTATAATATTTCTCATGTATATGAAAAGTTATCCACTCACCTGACTCGAAAATAAATAGAACTCAAAACCAGATACCGAAAAAAATCCTATTAATGTCTCGCCGGTAGAATATCAGGATTATCTGAATACAAATAAGACATATTAAAAAAGACTCGAAAAGAATGTTCAACCTATTTAATACACTTAATTAAGGGTCTATTCCATAACCTCATATGTTTTTAAACTAAACTTGTCGTTTTTTTCCAAAAACTCAAAAGTAAACAGTTTTACCGAAATCCAATTCATAATAAAATAAATAATAAGACTTGATAATAATTCACTAAATAACCCACAATTATTTGTTAAACCACTCTGCAAAAGCTAACATTACAACTAGGGACTAATATGGAATTTATCATGTTTTTAAGGGTCAAATTGTAAATTTACCAAATTGAAGGACTAAACTAAAAATATTATAAATTCATGAATATAGTGAAATTATATCCATAATTCACCCTCAGTTCTGTCCAGAATCTCATACTATGCTCTAGGGAACATTTTGGAATTTTTTCAAATTTTTAGGGTCAAATTGTAATTTTTGTTAAATGGAAGGACCAAATTAAAAGTGTTAAAAATTCATAATTATACTGTAATTCTGCCCATAATTCATCTTCTATTCTATCCAGAATCTTGGAATATGCTCCAGGGATCAATCTGTAATTTTTTCAAAGTTTGGGGACTAAACTGTAATTTTCATAAATAGAGGGACCAAACTGAATTTTCATAATCTTCAACCTCAAATCCAGAGTTCCCACAGATTATCTCCTGTTATATCAATATTTTTAACTCAAATTCACCATTAAAACAAATTCATAACTCAAAATCATCATCTTTACCTAAAATCTTTCAAAATGAACTACACAATTCATTATCCATAATAATTAACCCATAACATTCAAATTAATTCATCAATCAAACCAAAACACAATTTTTAAAACCTTAACATTCAACAAAATAAAAATTTAAAACTTAAATAACACATATTTATACATAATCTTATCTTTAAACTTATTTTCTTCAATTCTCTTTTATTTCTCTTATCTTTTCCTTTTTTATCTTCTTCTTCTTTTTCCCTTCACTCCTGCGGTTCTCTCTCAAAATTTTCAGATCTCTTCCTTTTCTTTTTCTGTTTTTATTTATTATGTTTATTCAATTACTATAATACCTCTCATTCATTTATATTCATTTTTAAGCCTTCAAGCACTTTGATGTATTTTCCCACCCATTTATTTCAAAACATCACAGGACATGTCTTAAGGACCCAATTCCTAGTAGTTTTAGATATAGAGATGGGTCAGTAGAGATTGCTTGTCCAAATCTTCTGTCATTACAGATGATTTGTTTTGATGTTTACATTTATGCTCAAATGTTCTGCCAGTGATAATTCTGAAAGTAGTTGGAGCAGCAACGTTAAATTTCCTTCTCTATTGGTGACCTTCCACCTTATGGAGCAAGATAAGGTATTAGATAGCAACCTAGTAGTAGTATATCTGAAATTGTACATGGCACCTTACTTGATCCTCTGCCTTCTACTATAAAACCTCACTCTGTCTCTTCTTGAGACATCAAACACTTCTAAATAAGATCGAGCTCAATTTACAAAAGCATTTTTTTTATAGTGTCCAGGAGAATAGCCTGGAAAATTAAAGATGAAGCAACAGTACTCAATCTCCTCCATTTCAGTTTTCCTTCTTTTCCTCCACTATACCAATACCTTTGCCCAGTCACCAGCAGCAGCCCCAGCGCAGGCACCAGCAGTAGTCGTAGCACAACCCCCAGCCGCAACTCCAACACAGGCAGCTGCTCCACACGGCATCACCAACGTCACCAAAATCCTTGAGAAGGCTGGCCATTTCACGATCTTTATCCGCCTTTTGAGATCCACCCAAGAGGAAAACCACTTATTCTCCGCGCTTAATGATTCAAGCTCTGGTTTAACCATCTTTGCACCAACAGATAGTGCATTTTCGGAACTCAAATCAGGAACTCTCAATACTCTAAGTGATGGTGACAAGTCTGAGTTGGTGAAGTTCCACGTAGTTCCAACATTCCTATCCACTTCCCAGTTTCAGACTGTAAGTAATCCTCTTGGAACATGGGCTGGAACAGGTAATAGGTTACCACTTAACGTCACAAGTTATCCAAACTCGGTGAACATAACCACAGGACTTACCAATACAAGTTTATCTGGCACGGTATACACGGACAACCAGCTAGCCATTTATAAGATTGAGAAGGTGCTACTTCCTAAGGACATTTTTGGATCCAATGCTCCAGCTCCAGCACCAGTACAGGCACCTGCAGGAGAAAAACCTACTAAGGCGGTTCCTGCTGCTAATGTATTCATTTGTTGTTTTTTCTCTGTGATCACCCTGGTGCCATCGTATAATGCCCTAACTGTTTCTTAAATAATAGTAGTTGTGTTAGTGGTTCTATTTCGTGAAAGTAAATTTTCATGATTTTAATTTTAGGTTCGTGACCGGTCGTAGTGGTGTTAAAAAAACGTCTCATCTGTACTAAATCTCATGACGAACATATAAAAAAAACAAGTTATTTAAAAATATATAGCATTTTATAATCTTCAGAAATAATATATGTTATACAAAACTGATAAAACCAGAAGATAGTTCAAAATTTCTCATCAATAATTAAAATAAAAATAATAATACATAATACTCATTATATTGTCAAAATCTAAACTTAATTAAAATAAGATAACAGTGGAGCATCTAAAAAATTTAATCAAAACTAAAAAGAAAATCTCGCCAAAAAAGCAAAGCATGCCAACCAAAACTAAAGAAGTAGGAACACTCAACAAAATTCACTTGCTATTAAAAACTAAGAACCTAAAATAATATTAAGAATGAAGGGTGAGTTCAACCAACTCAGTGAGAGAATAACATTTAATATATATTTTGGATATTAGTAGTTTGTAAGTTGATTTGTCTTGATATACATATACATATACATACTAAACATATTATCATAAAGTAGTGAAATATATGTCAGAGATCTGATGACACTTGAAGGTGACCAAATGACACCCGAGGGTGACCATTATGGAATTATCAGTCGCCATAGGTTGATGCTTATTTCACTAGCTAGGTATACAAAATACTATGTGCACATAGGCTAACTACTCTCCATTAGCATGGAGTTATTGACAAGTTCTATATCAAGACATAATAAATATTCAAAGAATCATCAATGAAATGTATATCATATCGAATATAATTTAGTTTAATAGAATGCGAGTGCAAATTCAAGAATAAATGAGTACTTAGAAAATAAAGCAATATATATAAATATTGAAGAGATTAACTAATCATACTCTCCATATAATCAACATACATATTTATTTATATTATATGCATATTAAAGATTATTCCACTCACTCGGAAAATATGAAACTAAAAAGAATATTAGATAAAAGACTCGAAAAACTTACTGAGGATCGTTAGGAGAAACTACAATAAATATATAAAATATACTTAAAAGAAACTCAAAGCAATGCAAATAAAAAGATTCCAAAGCATAAAAGAAAACCACATTTAGTCTCCTAGGTTTAGGGACTAAAGCGACAATTATCCAAAACAGGGATCAAAATGTAATTTTATCAAAATTGGACCAAACTGTAAATACATAACCATATTAAAATTTTACCCATAAACCATCCTCAATTCTTTCTAGAATGAACCAGGGACCAAAATATAATTTTTATAAAGTTTAGGGACTTTAATGTAAATTCATGAAATTAAGGGACCAAAATGAAAATATTCCAAATCAATTATCAAATGGAGATTTATCATCCTTAACCTCATAATAAAACTCCATAGAATCTCAAAATACATTTAGGAGTCAAATTATAATTTTTCCAAATTTTAGGGACTAAACTAAAATTTCTATAAGTACCAAAATAAAATTTGGTCATTTTCAACCTTAAGACCATTATGTCCAGATTTCTCAGCGAGGTTAAAATGAATTTCTTAAAGCATAAAAATTAATTTAAACAAATCAACTCACAAATCCTTATTTCTAACAACATATTAATTAATCACTTAAGATTAAACCCTTAATAATCATAAATCAATCTTAACAATATAAACTTCTAATTCTTACAAACCCTAATCTCTCTTACTTTTTTTTTTTGAATCCTTCTATAAAAAATTATAATTAAAAGTAACATGAGAGAGAATCACTTACTACTTACACCTTTCTTAAACCAAAAAACTTAAGATCAATAACTGAAATTCTTAGTTTGATGAGGGGAGGGTCACGACGACTACAAGAATTTGAAGGGAGAAAAGTAATTCTCTTGCAACTTTTCCTTATATATCTAGGTTAACTTAGATTGGGTTTGGACTAATTTGAACTTGGGTTTGAACCAAAAGTTTGGGCCTTACATAAATTGTAATGTTTTGAATTAAAGGGATAGGAAAATGCTAGAAAACCCTTGAAGGCTTAGATGTAAGAATAAATTAAATGAGGGGTATAGTAGCAATTGGATAAATAGTTGATAAATATAAATAAAAAAAAGAAAGAAAGAAGGATCTGAAAATTTAAAGAACAAACTGTGAGAGAGGAGAAGGGAGGAAGAAGAAGAAGAAGAGAAAAGAAGGGAAAAATGAAGAGATTAGAAAGGAAATAGAAAGGAGTTGGAGGAAATAAGTAAAAAGGTAAGATTATGTATAAATATGTGTTAATTAAGATTTAATTTTGGTTTTGATAAATGTTAGGGTTATGAAGTTTGTGTTTTGGATTTAATTGATGAATTAAATTGAATGTTAGAGGTTGATTGTTATGGTTAATTGATTGTTAAGTTGAATTTAAGAAATTGTAGATGAAAATGATGATTTTGAGTTATGATTTTGTTTGAATGGTGAATTTGTATTAGAAATCAGGGGATAACAGTAGGTAATCTGTGAAAATTCTGGGTTTGAGGTTGAAGATGATGAAAATTCAATTTGGTCCCTCAATTTTGAAAAATTACAGTTTAGTCTCCAAACTTTGAAAAATTACAGATCGGTCCCTGGAGTATATTCTGAGATTCTGAACAGAATAACATATGAATTATGGGCAGAATTACTGTATAGTTAGGAAATTTTAACACTTTCAATTTAGTCCAATTTGACAAAAATTATCATTTGACCTTAAAAATTTGGTAAAATTCCAGAATGGTCCCTGGAGTAATATTCTGGACAGAATTGAGGATTAATTATGGTCATAATTTCAGTGTATTCATGGATTTATGACAAATTTTAGTCTGGTCCTCCATTTGATAAAAAAATATAATTTGACCCTAAAAATTTGAAAAATTTCCAAAATGATCCCTGGAGCATAATTTGAGGTTCTGGACAGAAATGAGGATGAATTATAAATATAATTCCACTATAGTTATGAATTTAGGATATGTTTAGTTTGGTCCCCCAATTAGACAAAAATGACAATTTGGCCCTACAAATATGATAAATTCCATATTAGTCCCTAGCTGTGATGTTAGTTTTTTCAGATTGGTTTGATGAATAATTTAGGGTTATTTAGTGAATTATTATCAATTTTATTATTTGTTTTATTATGAATTAGATTTTGTAAAAACCGTTAATTTTTGTGTTTTTAGAGAAATAACCAGTTTAATCTAAAAATATATAGGGTTATGAAATAGACCCTTAGTTAAGTGTATTAAATAGGTTATATGTTCTTTTGAGTCATTATTGAATATGTCTCCTTTATATTCAGATAATCCTGATATTCTACCGGCAGGACGTCAGTAGGATTTTCTTCGGTGTTTGCTTTTGATTTCTGTTTGCTTTCGAGTCAGGTAAGTAAATAATTTTTGATATGCATGAGAAATATTATAAATATTTGATTTGTTAATATGAATTGGATCATGCCTCTTGGTAATATATTTGGTGACTAATATCCTTGTTATGATAAGCATGATCATTCGTTGAATCCGAATTCTTGATATGAACCAGTATGTATTTTGGATTGACTTATGAATTGATAGCTCCTCATTTGATTGATGTCATGAGTTGAGCCTTGAGATATGAATATGTCTGTTTGATTATGATTATGACCCTATGGTATGTCAGTCAGAATACCCATGCTAACAGGGTAATGTTAGTCTTTGTGCACATCGTATCTGAACCCTAGTTGGTCGGGGGAGTCACCAACCTGTGTGGACTGATCATCCCACAGTACGGAGCCTCATGCTCATTGCATTTTGATTTTCTGACGATTTTACCATATGATATTCTTGTTATGGCCTATTTGAGAAACCTTTTTTATAAGAACCGAAATCCATACTTGTATATATATTTCTCATTATTGTATTATCTCGTGTGTGTATATTGAACGTTATCTACTCACAGCCATATTTGTATATATATTTCTCATTGCTGTATTACCTCGTGTGTGTATATTGAATGCTATCTACTCACTGAATTGTTAAACTCACCCTCTTATTATTTATCCTTTTCAGGCTTATAGCTTGATAGCAGGTCATTTTTGTTGGACTTTCAGAACCTGCTCTTTTGATTGTAATTTGTACCTTTCTTTATGTCTAGTTAGTGCTCCAAAACTCTTGTATTAAGACAATTAAGTTATGTTATGAAATTAGTTTGTTGTTACTGCTGTTGAGCTCTGATTGACTTAGTAAATGATAAGTTTGTATGTAAGTTTGGGTTCACATAAGTATGGAACCTTGGAGGGAACCTTGCCTATATGCCGGTCATGGATCCGGGATTCGGGTCGTGCCACAAAATGTTGTTCTCTTTAATCTGTAAGATTATATATGGTTCTGCTGACAACATTTGAATGCGAGGCTAAACATAATGCAAAAGAGTAGAAAATTCTAATTATCAAGAAATCAGGCTTGTGAAACAGAACTACCTTTACTAGGTTATCTCTTGAACTTCTACCGAACTTAATGTGAACAAATCTGCTGCATTGCTCTCACTCAGGAACCTTTTAAGTTTCATCAGAATGAATTTTTCTCTAGTTTAAGCAATCCCACATCAGGTTAAATTCTTTTCTCCTGTTTCAAAACTGATGGTGTTGATAATTAGTGAAAAGAGAGTGTTAGAGAGCATAGGATTTTTACTTTAAGCTTGAGGAAGTGGATTCCAATCAGTAAAATTGTCGAGGTTATATCACAATTTTCATAAACTGAATGTGACAGACGACTGCCAGAAAGACCCTTCTATGATTTGCTGCATTATGGAGGAAAATTATGGTTTTGGTGGAAGCATGATCCAATCATCCTATTACGTTTAACATGAATAAAAGGCTTGAGCTCTAATACAGAATCCCTTGCCTCAACTCCTTCATCCTTCCTCCTCCTCCACCGCCTTTTCTTACATCCTCTCCATGAATAAAAGAATATCATGCCATTCAACGTCATGTAAAA